CAGTGAGGATGATGAAGAGGAGGAGGATGGGAACAGTCCTGATTCTCAGCTGGAACACTTGTCAGATTCTGGATCAGAAACTGAAGACTGTGACAAAGACTGGACGGAGTCAGGTGTAAACTGTGTCAACAACAGTTTCAGCTGCTCTGAGTGTGGTAAACAATTTCCCCACAAGCAGTCTCTTCAGAGACACGTGGCACGTCATTCAACAGTAAGACCTTCAAACAGTTTGAGTCATAAGAAAAGAGTCAAAGAGAAGAAACCTGTAGAGTCATACAGAGAAGTCCAGACACAACCCGAATATGGTAAAAGATTTACAAATATGTCAAGATTAAAAACAYACATGACAGTCCACGCAGAAGAGAAAACGTTTGAAAGTGAGGACTGTGGACATGGATTTAGAGATAAGTGTAGTTTAAACTCACACATCAGAGTCCACACAGAACAAAAACCTTTTGTATGTGAGGACTGTGGACACAGAGTTAAAGATAAGTTTAGTTTAAAGTTACACATGAGAGTCCACACAGGACAGAAACCGTTTGTATGTGAGGACTGTGGACAWAGATTTAGYYRTAAGWKTAGTTTAAACARACACATGAGAGTCCACACAGGACAGAAACCGTTTGTATGTGAGGACTGTGGACAAAGATTTAGCCAGAAGAGTAATTTAAACAAACACATGAGAGTACACACAGGACAGAAACCATTTGCATGTGAGGTCTGTGGACAAAGATTTAGCCTGAAGAGTAATTTAAACAAACACATGAGAATCCACACAGGACAGAAACCATTTTGTTGTGAGCTGTGTGATCGAARGTTTASMCAAAAGWRCAGTTTAAACAAACACATGAGAATCCACACAGGACAGAAACCATTTGTATGTGAGGTCTGTGGACAAAGATTTAGCCAGAAGGGTAATTTAAAGTCACACATGACAGTCCACACAGGACAGAAACTGTTTGTATGTGAGGTCTGTAGACAAAGATTTAGCCAGAAAGGTAATTTAAAGTCACACATGACAGTCCACACAGGACAAAAACCATTTGAATGTGAGGTCTGTGGAAAAAGATTTAGCCATAACGGTACTTTAAACAGACACATGAGAGGCCACACAGGACAGAAACTGTTTGTATGTGAGGTCTGTGGAGAAAGATTTACTAATTTAAACTTACACATGAGAGTCCACACAGGACAGAAACCGTTTGTATGTGGGGACTGTGGACAAAGATTTAGCCAGAAGAGTAGTTTAAACAAACACATGRTAATCCACACAGGACAGAAACCATTTGTATGTGAGGTCTGTGAACAAAGATTTAGCCAGAAGGGTCATTTAAAGTCACACATGCGAGTCCACACAGGACAGAAACCATTTGTATGTGAGGTCTGTGGACAAAGATTTAGCTGGAAGAGTAGTTTAAAGTCACACATGAGAGTCCACACAGGACAAAAACCATTTGAATGTGAGGTCTGTGGAAAAAGATTTAGCCATAATGGTACTTTAAACAGGCACATGAGAGGCCACACAGGACAGAAACCACAAATTCAGGCAGTTGGGTTTGTCCCCATCCCTGCCCAATCTGGCCTATAATTTTTTTTATAAATAAGTCCATTACCCTTATTGTTATTACCCTTTAGCATTCTGATCACTTAATTGGCATAGAACATTTAGTGGCCTTGTATCTAACTGAGCCTTACACTGAACGTGACCTACTTTCAGTCTTTTCTACCAATAGCCTATATGCCACAGACATTCGGTCCAGCACTTGATGCCACTCCCAATACTTCTGGTTCACGGTCAACATGGTGTTAGCGAAATATTTTTTCACCCAACAATGACTCTTAATGATCTCCACAGTAC